AGTCCATGGTGCCCATATAAGATGCAGCGAGTCCCAACAAGAGACCGACTGAGGTCATGGTGTGCTTTGGAGTGAGGTACTTGAAAGCAACCCACTTCGCAATCCCCTTGAGGTGCCCATTTAGGCCCAAGGCGAGCAGAAAGCCTGCGTGTCGATTGCTCAGATCGTGGCCAGGCTTATTGTACAAGATCCAAGAGGTGTCGATACCCTTAGCCTCTGGAGAAATGGCAAGTCCGGCCGCCACGCCCTGGTGGAAGAATCCCCAGCAGACCTTTTCTTCCGTGAAAAGTGCCTTGTCGACGCCGACGGTAACGTTTGTTGGACGAACAACGCAATTCAGGTTGAACCCGGCTACGTGGAACTTCTGCGTCAACAGCGGGTACCGTAGGCTGTAATACAAGAGTGCTCGACCAGCAGGAATGGCCAGAGTGCCCGTAGCAATTCTGGACACAAGTTCCTTCTGTCTTTCGAGGTATTCGCTTTCTGACCACGCTGCATCGGCTTCCAGACGGACAACACGAGCTCTGTGAGTGGAGAGGAGATTCTGGGCTTCATTGAGGCGACGATCCTCTTTGAACAATGCTCGTATGACAGCTTGTCGCTCCGTTCCCTGCCCTTCGTCGTAACCATTATTATTGTACTCGTCGACGCTATGGCAAATAGTTCGGTAGTCCCATGACGCATTGTGCGTGGGTGTCTATGGCTTGTTAATACAGAGTATCAGGGAGGCCGTGATCAAAGAACACTGACAAGAATGTTGGCGCCGCTCTTCTGCAATTTCTTGATTGGCGCCAGAACCATGCTGATATCACCACGGTTGACAAGCTCCAACAGATCCTTGGGCCATGAGGCGGGTGGCCGAGCTTGACATCTAGCAATTGAGTCTTTGAGCGGCGCAAGCACAGCCTCTGGAAGGGTTTCAAGCACCCGACTGCTAATGCCTGCAGAGTGCATGGCTTCGACCATGTTAGCGGCGCTGCTTTTGGGTGTAAGCTTTTCGAAAAGCCGCTTGAACATGAGCGTTCTTGGCGTGATAGACGCCCATCTGGAATCCTTGAGGTGCTCCTGATCAGCCTTCAAGTTTTGAGAGTGATAAAGATTTGCTAGTGTAAGGTAAGGGTGGTATTGGCCGGCGGCAAGACACGTCTGTATCCAGTGGAAGATGTCAAAGTCAACGCCCGACGGTTGCGTTAGAGGGACTTCAAGGCGGAGTTCTGTTCTTGTCAGTACCTTTCCAGGGTTTCCAAGACGAATCACTGACCTGTATCGTAGCGAGGCTCCAATTCTTCCTGAACTCCCAGTTCGTACACTGCAATAAAGTCGTGCCATCCCAGCCATCGGGCAATTTGACACATCACGACCCGGAGTGGCGCCGTACCCGGAGAAGCATATTCAGGTGTCATGATCTCCAACTTTTGTTCCTCAAGTAGAAGATGGAGAGCCACGAAAACGTTCCAGGCGGCATTGCCACGGTTCTCTGCACTCCGTTGCTGTCCGGTTGGAAGGTATCCATTGGCGCCGACGGCCTTCTCGCCAAGCGGAGATGCCAAGTAGCCCTTGGCATATTGAATGTGAGTAGACATGAACTTGGTATCTCTGAGACTAGGATTGGGCGAATTGGAGAAATCGTCGCTGCCATCCTCCTCGAGGGTCCAGTCCCAGCCTCTTGTTTGCTGCCAACTTGGGCAGCCTAGGGCATTGGGGGTTTCGTATAAATGTAAAGTGTTCCAGTCCTCGACGTCCTGTATTGACCCGAATGAGCCAGATTGGGGTCGTCGTTTGCCTCTTGATGGCTTTGTGAGAGATTCTTGTGTGGCATTGGCCTTGCCCAATGCGAGATAGATGGCTAGAAGCTGAATGACTAGCGCCGACCACTCGGCATCGGCGACTTCAATCTCTTCGCTCTTCAACCATATCATAATATGCCACCAGCCAGGAAACATCTTCTCGGCGTGAGAAGCAGGAAGAATGCTCCGGCAGGCGTCGAGCACTTTCCGCACTTGGTGATTGCGAGGCTGGAGCTGAATTTGAATCTGATGGTGCCTGCCATCACCATCTACCATGTCGACGATACCCCTTGCTTTCGAGTATTTCAGCGCTCCGACATTTCCGTTCGCAACCTCAATGTTTTCAGACTTGCGATGTCTGACATCCCTGTCGACAACTCGGCCGCGGTAATGCAAGCTCCTTACATTCTCCAGCGACATTGGAGGAAGGTTGATGGGTGTGATTTGACTCCATGGCGCCTGTATGCTGAGCTCCCTACGGCCCTCATGCCCTTCAGATAGAATGAGTATAACCGAAATGTCGCCGTCAGTCACTTTGCAAGAGTCCACAACGTGATGAGCTCGCCGGAGAGCGCCGCAAGCTAATCTCACGGGATCTTCTGAAGAGGTGGAGCTTTTACCAGGCTTCGGTGGAACGAGAAAACGCGGCCCTCGTTGAAGGTCGATCGTAAGAAGCTGCAGCCTCTTGTCGAGGGAGTCTTGGATCCCTATGAGTAGCTCACCACGGAGGGGATCGTCTACGGCGAATTGTGGTGCTGTCAAGATGAAGACCTTGCAATGCTCACGAGCAGGCTGCTTGGACAAGGAATACCGCACGTTTGAGTTATCCAGAGAAATAGACTGGATCTTTGTAAACATCATTTCCTGGGACAGACCATCGAAAACATGGTCGTCAAGGCCCATGTTATGGAAGCCCTCGAAGTCACCGCCAGCTCGAAGTTCTTCCAACACACCGTCGATGGGAGCCTCGAGCAGGCTACCAAGGCTTGGATGAATGGTCTGATTGTGGTTGAAGGAGCTGTAGCCACCACTAAGTCTAGGCCCTTGACTACCGTAAGACTCGATTCGTTTGGATCCGCCGTGTGCTGGGCCTGCTAGAGGCTGCTCAGAGAAGACGGAGCGTTCTTGAGAAGCAGAGAGATCAGCTCGAGCCAGCATCGAACTCACTCGGCGTGACTGCCTCCGGTTAGTACCGGATTCCTTGTCCAGATCAAACGAAGAGACCAAGTCTAGCGGCTTCTCAACCCTTTCCGGCTTTTCGATTTTCTCACTCTTTCTAGAACGCTTCCCCGGCAAGGGTGCACCAAAGCTCTCCCGAAAGTTTGTCTGAACTGGCGTCGAGGCACCGCTGGCGGCGAAATGCGGCTGCATGGAGCTACGACGACGCTCTGCCCTGCTCTTGTCCTTCTTAAGGCGGCCAATGAAGGGGTCCTCGTTCTTGACATATGTCACTCTCCACACTGCGTATGTGCTTGCTTCCCGATTAATGGTGACGGCGAGAATCAGTGGCTCGGCATTCTTGGTGTTGGGTGCACCGGGATGCTTGATTTCCTCCATGTGCAATATCTCCTCTGCGGGGTCTAGAAAGCATGGCGCTTTTGCTGTACTCTTCCTCCTCTTCTCTCGGGCGGCGCCGTCTGGACGTGCAACAATGAGCCCCAACTCTTGCAAGGGATCCAACAGGCACACCAGGCGGGGCCAGTGCGAGTCTGGTTGTTCAATTGGTCCCTCCCACATGTTTCCGAGCGTTGAGCTTAGCCTCAAGGGTAGCGACTTGGGCTTGTTCAGGCCCTCCACGGAGAAGACGGTATGTTGTGAGCTTCGAGGAGACGTGACGGTGATTTGCGAGGAGACGAAGGAGTTGGGCGGTACTTTCGGAAACTTGAGAGAGACAGGCGCGGTAGTATCTCCTCGCTGCTTGCGCTGGATGATGACACCCTGGGGTGCGGCGCAGGCGGCCTCGACCTCGAAAGGCATATGGACAACATGGCTCGTGCCGGAGAGGAAGTAGACGTGTGCTTGCGTACGTAGAAAGACGACCAACGCTCGGGATAGTCGACGGGGTTCGGCTGGAGTATCTGGAGACTTGCTCTTCGAGGCTTGCTGCGGCGTCTTTTTACTGTAGTCGGACGTGGGAAAGGAAGCGAGCAAGGCCTGAGTGACGGGCTCTTTTTCCAGATCGAATTTGTAGGATTTGCGAAAGACACCCCCGCGACTCCAAACGACGCAGTTCTTGGTGACCAGTAGCTCATCTTCGACCTCGATGGTATCGTCGTATTCGTTATGATCGGGGTCGGTTGATATCTCCCATGCGTAGTTCGACGGCGGGGCATCTTCGTGAGCTGTGTGTTGAAGGCCGCTAGGCTGGTGCAGGCCCAGAGACTTGATGGACGCCATTGTGATTCCCCATGTGAGTTGTTAGGGGGTCTTGTCAGAGCAGTCCGAGGGGTGGAGTTTCTGAAAGGGGCGGGTTGTCCATCACAGCCTCGGCAGCCGGTGTGACGTTCGCTTTGTTGGAAGTTCGACACGGCGGCAATAAGTTGGTGATGGTGGTGATACTTCCACTCTTTTTTTGTTGGAGTCGCGTCCCAGCAGCCCGAGAACGCGAATCAAAGCTTCCAGCACCACAGCCAGCGACACAGGTCCAACGGGCAGGCTCAATTCACTATATTTTGGGTTATCGGGTGGGGGAGGGGCACCACTAGAAAGCTGCCTACGCGATTGGCGGACAAGCTCACAAGGGGACCCACCCAGGTACCTAGGTCCTGTGCCGCTCGTCAAGGACAAGCTCTCGCTGTGCCTCAGGCGCAGGTGCACCGCATCGCAGTTCTTTCCAGGGTGGGTAAGGTACCTTACTGTCAGGTGCTTAGTACCTGTGAAAGCTCCCATCACAGAAGCAGCTCTTCGGTACGTACCGAGCACGCCTCGTGACGTAGCGGACTTGCGCGACAACTCATTCGAAGAGCAGCTAAGCTTCCTCTAGACCCTCTAGACCTCACCAGACCGCGACGCAACCCCGAGGAGCTCGTCGAATCCGATCCGAAGCTCAGGGTAGCTCCCTTCTTTGCCCCGAATCCCTCCATTGCAGCCTTTCTCTACACCAGGCCGAGCCATTGCCTCATAATCCCCGCTTAGGCCCGCCAACTTTCTGGCACTCTATCGACCAAACGACAATGCCAATGCGAGCCTCGAGTTGACGGTAAATCCAGCACAATGACGGACGCATCCGATCCCGATCGCGATGGTCCCACCGCTGCGCAGAAAGGCAAAGGGCCCGAGACGGCCGAGGCTGTGACTGCGCCGGAGGAATTGGCCACGAACAAGTCCGAGAAGGAGTCGAAGAAGGATGGTGATGGCACGGACAACAAGGTGGAGGAAGAGGACGATGAAGAAGACGATGACGAGGATGACGAGGAGGATGATGATGACGAAGAAGAAGACGACGACGACGAAGAAGATGACGAAGAAGATGAAGACGATGACGAGGAGCCCCGGCTGAAGTATGCCAGGCTCACTCAACACCTGGGCCCCATCTACCGCAACGGTGATGCGACCAGCGCGTTCCTTGTCGCGGGTGATAAAATGGTAAGACTGCCTGTCGAGCGCATCCCCACACCTGAACTGAACTGCAATAGATCATAGGAACGCATAACGGCAACATCCATGTCATCCAACTGCCCATGTTCCAATCTCTCCGCGTATACCATGCCCATTCCGCCTCCATTACCAGCATCTCCATCTCCCCAAACCCGCCCCCCTTACCGACAGCAAGATCAGAAGCAGTGCAAAGACTCGCTCAAGAAGCTGCTGAAAGCGTCGCAAAACAACGACCACCCTCCCGCCAGTCGGGCACTTCCCCCGCCGCCGCCTCGAGAAGGCCTAAGGATCCTTCTCCAGTTTCCAACACACCCTCTAATAACGTTCATATCGCTACATCGTCCATGGACGGCAACGTCTGCGTCTTTTCCCTTGTAGATACAAAGGATGTTCAACTGCGGAACTTTGCGCGTCCTGTGCAAGCCGTCTCACTCTCCCCCGATTACAAGAATGACCGGACATACCTGTCGGGTGGTCTCGCTGGACAACTCATTCTTACAACCGGAGGCCAGCCGGGCCGTAGCACCTCGACAACCGTTGGAACGGCAGCTGCCACCGCTTCTGGCTGGCTTGGCAGCATGGGCTTGGGTACTAACACAGGCAAGGACACAATCCTGCACTCTGGCGAAGGCACAATCAATAATATCAAGTGGTCACTGTCCGGGAAGTACGTAGTCTGGTTGAACGAGCATGGCGTCAAGATTATGCGGTCAAAGTTGCATCTGGAGAGTGCCGACGCGGACGACGCCTGGAAACGCATCGGTCACGTAGATCGCCCTCAAACAGATGAGTGGGAAACCATGGCAAGTGTCTGGAAAGGACGCGTCGAATGGATTGACGAGCAAGCTGTCGAGACCGAAGACGGGGAGGCCGGGCGCAAAGACGTTGGCTCAACGCTGGCATCTGAAGGTTCAACGCAACAAGGAACCTCAAGTACCAAGAAGATCGAGAGGCTACTGGTAGGCTGGGGAGGCACAATCTGGATCATCCACGTCCACCCTGGTAGTGTTGGTACTGGAAAACGTGCTGGCGAAAAGTCGATTGGACGTGCCGAAATCGCCAAGCAGTAAGTGAACCCCCCCCCCCCCTCGTGCGCTTTGGAGCGATTTGTAGCTGATATCCTCGCAGCCTTCGTATGGATTGCATCATTTCTGGAATTTCGTTATATACCCAAAATCTTCTCCTTGTACTAGCATATGTATTACCGGATGATGACGAAGACGACGACAAAGATGAGAAGGCTGGCAAGGGTCACAAATCAAAACTGTCAACAACGTCTGCGAGCAGCGAGCCGTCTGGTGGAATACGACGCCGCCAGAATAATCTACCGCCGGAACTTCGATTAATCGACCTGAGCTCACAAGCCGAAGTCGACAAAGATGGGCTTAGTGTGAGCAGATATGAGAGGCTATCATCGGGTGACTACCATCTCGGGGTTCTCCCTGCACAGAATGCAGCCTCGGCGGTGGCTTCATCCAAGGGCGCGCTGGAAGCAATCACTGGATTTGGCTCAGACATGTGGAATGCCGCCATCAATCCCAGGACACTCTTTAGCTCTGGTGCAAGTATCAGGAGTGGACACAGCGGAGATGGCGTCTCTAGCACGCAGGTTCCAAGTTCGGTTGGTGGCGCCCGGAAGTCAGGAACGCCTACAGTTCATCCCAACCTCATCAAGCCTGGAGTCAAGATTTTCATCCACAGCCCGTTTGATTTTATTCTCGGAACGAAGAGAGACCTTGGTGACCATCTGGGGTGGCTGCTGGAGCATCAGGACTACCAGAAAGCATGGGAATTGCTTGACGAGCATCCCGAAATCATGGCTGCACCTCCAGAGAACCTTCATGAACTCGTTCCTACAACGCCAGACAGAAAGCAAAGCAGTCAAGAGGATTTTGACGATGCCTCATCAGTCATGGGATCTACAGGGCTGGCAAGACATCCTAATTCTTCAGCGCAGAGGGAGAAGAGACGCATTGGCGAGCTCTGGATTCGGGAGTTGATTGAGGCAGGTAGCTGGGCTGAAGCCGGTAAAGTTTGCAGCAGAGTCCTTGGCTCTCCCGACAGATGGGAAAAATGGGTCTGGACATTTGCTGGTGCCGACAAGTTTGATGAAATCACGGACTACATCCCTTCTGAGCCGATGTACCCGCCGATTCCCGGCACAATCTACGAAGTTGTCTTGAATCACTATATTCAGGCAGATAAGCTGAGGTTCAGAGAACTGCTAGACCGCTGGCCGACCGATCTCTTCGACATCAAGACTGTCACCACAGCCTTGGATAATCAGCTCAAGTACCGCGATGTGCGAGAGGACAGCGTCGAGGGCGGTGAGAAGGGTCGCGACTGGAAGATTGTGATGGAGTCCTTGGCACGCTTACACGAGGCAAATGGACGCTTCCGAGAATCGCTCAAATGCCACATAAAGCTTCAAGACGCGGACTCGGCGTTCCGCTTGATTCGCGACAACCATCTTGCCGAAGCAGTGACTGACGACATTCCCGGCTTCATCGGATTGCGGGTGCCGAACAAAAAGCTCGGAACCATGGGACCAGACGAGCTCGAGGCCGCAACCTCGGAGGCCATCACTCTACTCGTTGACGAAGCACAGCATGGTCTTGTCAAACCTTCTGTGGTGGTATCGCAGCTCGAGGAGAAGGAGCTCAACCTGTATCTCTTCTTCTACCTGCGCGGTTTGTATAAAGGCGAGGGAATAGAGGAGCATTCTGGGGAGACTCGCGACAGGCTGCTGATGGATAGCCAATCCCAAGTTAACGAATTTGCGGATACGGCCGTTCAACTGTTTGCCAAGTACGATCGGGACCTTTTGATGAGCTTCTTAAAGTCCTCGACCTCGTACAAATTCGAAAAGGTGAGTCGAATATTCGTCTCCAGCATTGATGGCGATGCTCTGGCATTTCCGAGACCTAGTTTGCAAACTAACAACCGCAGGCTGTCCAAGAGTGCGAAAAGTACAGGTACGACGACGAGCTAGTACATTTGTACTCCAAGACGGGCGAAATGAAACGAGCCCTCTATCTCATCATTGATCGACTGAAGGACGTCAAGAAGGCAATCGATTTTGCGAAGCAACAAGACGACCCTGATCTCTGGGATGATTTGTTGAACTACAGCATGGACAAGCCGAGCTTCATCCGCGGCCTTCTCGAAGAGGTCGGGACAGCGATCAATCCCATCAAGCTCGTGAGGCGCATCCCCGAAGGACTCGAAATCGAGGGCTTGAGAGAGGGCCTAAAGCACATCATGAAGGAACACGAGATTCAATACAGTATCAGCTCGGGTGTTGCGCGGGTGCTCCGAAGCGAGGTCGCCGCCGCACAAAATGACCTGCGCAGTGGGCAGCGAAAGGGGATCAAGTTTGAAGTCGTCATTCAATCCACGGATCATATCGACGTCAAGGTCAGAGACGTCGTTCATCCGCCAGTCAGTGCGGAAGAGGTGGAAGAGAGCTTCTTCAAAGCACCAAAGGCGGTGGAACAGCCGGGCCACACGCATCAGCCGCCGAAACCTGGCCACTGCGCTCAGTGCCACGAGTCTTTCACAGAGTACGAGATGGAAACCTTGGTTGGATTTGCCTGCGGGCATGTCTTCCACCAGTCCCATCTCATGGAGATGCTTTACCCTGGTAAGCGACAAGAGGCCGATTTTGGGCTGGCTAGCGAGGAGTCGATCCGAAGCGGGTATCGCGTTGGCTCAAAGGTTACGCATGCGCGCTTACTCAAGGACCGAGTGAGGGAGGGTTGCCCTGTCTGTACCCACGGGACAGAAATACCGGTGTAAGAGAGGTTGTAATATCCAGTGACGAAATGCATACGGCGGCAAAGCCATCTTTTGATTTCAGCCTTGCTTATTCTTTACTATACAATTTTGCGTGATTCCCCCACGTACATTTTAGAATTTAATGTCCATCTTGTCCTCCATTGTGTCCATCTCGGTCCCACGCAGCATTGAACCCGGTCTATCGCTTATTCTGCTAGCGTTTCAATTGTCGAGAATTGTATCCGACGATAGAACGTGAAGATATTTTGAATGCGAATAGCAACAATAATGTTCGCAAGGTCGCCCTACATGTTTCGTCGTTTGGCTGACTCTTAAGAAGCACGGGCCGGCCAGCCGGCAGATCGTCTCACTCTCCCCCAACCCCCCACACGGTACCAGGTACCCCACGCCCACGTTTCCCCCCTGGGTGGCGCGAACGACATGTCACTCCTTCAACCTCGGCCTGGAGGTGTGTCGCGGTAACCTCTCCTCTTCCCCCAACTCATGCATTCCGCGACGTATGCCAAGGGGAAACGATATGGCGTATTGGGATACCTACCGGAGCCGGGCTCAAGGGAGGCTGAGTTGTGAGTTCAACATCTTTGGGACTGGGGCAAAGTCAATGGGGAAGTTATGCTAACTGGCTTTGTCATGTCACAGATGGGAGCTGAACCGAACGCAATCTCCTTTCCTGCGTCTCCCGCCAGAGATACGTAATAAAATCTACCGTCTCCTCCTATCCAACATGGGAATCCACGTCCTCCACGACCCGAAAACGGGATCCTTCCACTGCCTCGCCCTCCGACCCGGCGCGAACCCCTGGACTTCCGTCCCCACGACTACTACATCCCCTACCAGGCAGATAGCAGAATCAGAAAGAGGAGATACCACCCCCAAGACCACCAGCACCAAGAAGAAGAGGCCATCATCACGACAGCAGGGGGCGGTTCTCGGACGGGGACTGACGCTACTGGTGCTGGTCTGTAGACAGCTCTACCACGAGACGGAGCTGATTCCGTACCAAGAAAACGCGTGGAGTTGGGCTACGCCTGGGTTGATGGAGCGGTACCTGCTTACGGAGCGGCGGATGGGGTTTGCGCAGAGGAAGGTGTTGAGGGAGGTTTGCGTTAGGGGCATTGCGGGGTTTGGGAACTGTAGTCGGAGGGTTAGGGGGGTTTTGGGCGGGTTGGAGGTTGTGTGGTTTTGGGAGGGGACTGGGAACGCAGGGCAAAGGAAAGGGGTGCTTGGTGGATGGGTTTGCGAGGTTGTTGAGAGGGGGAGGGCTGAGGTTGGTATTGGGAAGCCGAATTGAGGGATGTTGAGAGGTTTGTGATGAGCAGAGGGTCTGGATATAGAGGAGGGCATCGCAGGATTGCTCTGCGGAGCATACGAGACATGAGGCTATGAGGCTGATGATACTGGGCCTATGGGAAGGCATGATACTTTGATGATATAGCCAGTAGGCTATGGTGGTTCTCCCACCAAATCAAGGTGTTTCTGGGCTACTGGGGCAACATTCAACCATCTTCATGCCTCCTAAATCCGTCGATGAGCGACAACAATCGCTTCTATCATCACCATAGCGCCTGACTCCGTCCATCTTGGCACTCGCTATCTACAGTACATACAGAGGCGAGTAAATCTCAGAATTGCAGTAGAATTGGACGTTCATGGAACAAGCAGGAACATTCCGGGCCAAGTCCGGCTACTTTCGGGGCTGTGGGCCGGTGGTGCACCGAAGTTTTCGAGGCTCTCGGCCCCGAGGACCCATACCGGTTCAACCACAGTTGAACAACACACCAAAGTCAGCACACTGTAGGGAGATTCATCCCCGTAGAAACGAAAGAATTTTCACATGGAGGGAAAGTGGAAGGAGCGAGATTCTGGTGGGTGGTTCTGGGTGATTTTAGGGGGGCTTGAATGGAGGGCGGAATAAGGGCTTCTTTGGTGTGTTTGGCGCCCTTTGAGGGGAGTTCTGGTGGTTGTGATGCCGCGATGCCGCGATATTAGACGAAGACCTGCAATTTGAAACGCCTAGATCTTGGTTCATGTAATTCATGAAATGGTTGTCTAATGATGACGACGTTGATTGCGATTCTAGCCGCCGTCAGCGCGGGAGCGAGATTCCTGTGTTTGGTTCTATGTGATGAGGGCAACATCAGCTTCAATGGGCGTCAAAACAAGGGCTTCGTTGGTGGTTTTTTAAGCCAAGCACTGCTTTTGGGATGCTGCGATGGCTTCGGAATATTATAGAGGATGCTGAAGTCTGGTGATATTGACCTATGGATGAACAGATAGATCGATTGCTTCGTCTATAAAGTTGACGCTCTGGAATCGTGATATTCTGCTCTGCGAGCCTAGCCTCAGTGTCGCGATGGATGCGGGGTACTTCAATTACGCCGCCGTCTTGCGGTACTCATCAATGGACGTCGTGGTCTATAATATAGATTGCTTCGTGCGTAGAACTGACGCTCTAGAATGGTGATGCTTTTGATTTCTGAACCCAGCCTCCATGCGACGAATCTCACTACGAAGCGCGTCGTCTCTGTCGGTTTGAAGCACCATGACGAGAGTCCAGTAGCACGGTACACCGCGACGGCGGCGCGGCGACAGCATCTCTAATTTCGTGAAAAAATACCACAACAAAACTCGGACTGGCATCGTGATCCAGCTTGAGGGCTACAGCAACGGCACGTCTCATGAGTAGGGAACATCAAGATCAATACATGATCACACTGAAGAGGATAGTCACAGAATGAGGATTCAGAAAGAGAATTTTGTGACGAGGTAATGTCAATTTTCTGTAAAGAGGCCTTTGACTCAAATGCTGCTTGTATGCATCCGAATCGTGTATGCCTATGAAGAACCTGAAACTGTGATCCTTGATGAAGTTCCAATTCCTTAGCCCAATGGCTCAAACCAATTCCCTAGTCCATCCATTTCCTTTAGGCCATTCCAAGTGAGAAACTGCCAACGAGTGTATAGTTAGACTTGACTTCCCTAGAGGAAGTACATCAGCAACGCGCCGGCGATAGCGCAGACGACCACGACCTCGGTCTTGGAAGCCTCAGAGGAGGCGGTGGGAGTGGCGACAGTCTGGGTGCCGGTGCCAGTCATGGAGACCGAGCCCGAGGTCTTCTCAGTCTTCGAAGCGGTGCTCGACTTCTGAACAGAAGTGGTGGCCGACTCCAAGACGGAGGAGGTGGTGCCAGCGGTCTCAGTGAGGATGGGCTCGGAGACGCTGAGGGTGTGAGTAACCTCAATCGGGTCACACACCTGAATGGTGGTCATAGAGCACATGGAAGAAGTAACCACTGGAAAATCAACGCGTTAGAACATTGTGATTCCAAAGGAGAAATGGAATTCAGACTCACCAGTGAACAGGTTCGACTCGATGACGGTAGCGTGACCCATACCGGGGTCCTCAATGAAGGTCGTAAGCTCGTACGAGCCAGTCTCTGAATATGTGTGAGCCTTGACATCGCGCTGCGCGAACGCTCGAGAAAGGGAAAACTTACCGGTGGCACCGCCATGCTGAACCATAGGCTCCGCGGTCATAGTAGGGCCAGTGCCCAGGTAGAAGGTGTAACCCTTAGCGATGCTGGAGGCGCGCATATTGAGTATTGGGTTGGTGTGAGGGGGTATTGTGGTATGGATAGGGTGTATGGGATACAAGGTGCAAAAGTGCGGTTGCTTGTGGGCAAAAGTGTGTGACGGGTTTGCGAAGTTGAAGAGTGGGTGAGAGGGAGGGAAAGTTTGAGAGAGGGAGGGGAGAGAGAAGATCTTTTTGTAGAGGGCAGCAGGAGGGGAAAGGCAACCAGATCACTCAGGTCTGGGTAGGTGGTTGAACCACCCTTTTCGATACCTTAGGCCGTGTGAACCATGAGGCTGTAGAGGAGGAAGTTCGTGATAGTTGGAGGTACGTACGTACCCCTGGATCAACTGGTGATTGGCCGATTGGGGTGGTTTTGCGGGTTGGCTATCTGATTTTGGAGGCGAGAGCTATGGACGAGGATGAAAAAGAGAAGAAAGGTGCTTAGGGATTTTCTCATTGGTCGATTTAATGGTTTAAATCACATTTTTATTATGAGAAGAGCGGGTTTCAGTGAGACTGGAGGCGGGTAGATGACATATAAGGCGAGAGCCGGGGGATACAGAAGTTCACAAACAAGGCGAGAGCCAGGGCATGCAGAAGTTCACAAAAGAGGCGAGAGCCAGCGGGTGGTAATCCCAAAGGGCGAGAGCAGACGACCTGGAGCACATACCCATGAACTTGGTGATAAGAACAAGGTAGCTTTTTCTGGAGGAGGGCACAGTAATGAGGTAGTTCACAAATAAGGCGAGAGCCAGATGGCCACGAGTAGTCTCAAAGGGCGAGAGCAAACGAGTGAGAGTCAGACTTCTTGGCCATGAGGTTGGCGATAAAAATGAGCCAAGAAGAGGGCACTGCAGCTCACAAACAAGGCAATAGCTGGCTGGTTATAGTCTGTTACAAAGGGCGAGAGGGCAGACGATATAGACTACATGGTCATCATACTGTGTATGAAAATGGCTGGCTTGAATGAGGCAAGATGAAGGCAGGGCAAATCACAAATGTGGTGAGAAAGAAGTGCCTAGGGGGAAACTACTCACAAAGGGCGAGAGCAGGCGACTTGAATTCCACGGCAATGGAAATTGTATATGAGGATAGCTTGCTTGAGTAGTTTGAGAGGTGGGAATAGCAGCTCACAATGAGGCGAGAGCAAAGGACTATGGCTGGCAAAGGCCTCCCAAAAAGGCGAGAGCAGACGCCATGGTTCATAATATGGTAAAATTATGAGATAGGGTAGACTTGCTCTCGCTTTTCTGAGGTGGGCACAACAGCTCACAAAAGGGGGGAGAACTATGGAGAGTAGACATGGACTTCAAAGGGAGAGAGTTGATCGATCATCTCCAGATGTTATATGAATGAATCTAGAGATGGACATGGCAGCTCAGCTCACAGATAGTGGTCGAGATGAGACCTGGGTGATGAGAAGATAAGAGACGAAAGCAGAGAAAAATAATGAGAACGGACGAAGAGGGCGAGAGCAGACGATTGTGGAATTGATGAGCTGTTTCTTTTTCTGGAAAAGGTGAGAGCAGAACACAAAAGATGTGTTTTGGGGTGTGGGAGCATTCAGTGACGAATTTTCAAGAATGCCTCCCTCGGTTCATTCCAATAAGGGCAAAAAGTTAAGAAAAGAACGGGTAGGTTAGGCTGCCTGAACCTATCTTCTAGCAGTCAGTCAGTATGGGAAAAAGAGCTCGTCTGATGATTCTTTCCCTTAGTTGACTGACTTGGTGTTCAAACGAATTTCAGATGGACGCTTGGTTGGACGGAATGCTTCATCGGATTCCCAATCAAATGATATTCAAATGAGGAAGAGCTATGAAATCAGACGAAATCGAGTAAACGAAGACAATGAGGGTTATGCAGATGCATGTTTCTCAAAGGAGTTTGGATGCAGAAATGTGGTGGAGGAAATAAAGACTGGGGGGAAATTCTGGTCAGATGTATGGCAAGTACAATTAATCAAATGATGAGGAAGGACTTTGTGGCAATGTACAATGCTTTCGAGGGACCGTTGTCAGGCCGATGGTGGGTTCTGCGTATGTGATGGCATTTTTATGAGTGCAGCTACTAGCTAGGCGGAGACGAGAATCGACAAGCAGGTCAAAAAGCTCCCCTTCAGCGCCGACAACTCAACTTCAGCGCAGGAAACTCCAGAACAGTATATAAACATCTGGGGAGGTATGGAAGTGTTTTGCGATCTCCGAAAGTGTGGTAGGGCGGCAATGTTGTGATTGATTGATGATAGGGTGCATTTCAATTCTCAAATCAAGCCACCACCGCGGTTTGTCGTTTGTTTTGATACCACTGTGGAGTGAGATGCTCAATTGACAAGTGGAAAGTATTTGGTAATATCATCCCAGCATCTATGGCATGAATACGTTAGGACATTCCTCAGACTCAAACCCCCCGAACAAGGTGGCAATACATGAGAAAATGAATGCATTTCTTAACAGTCGCATGTTGCTTAGTTGTGGTTGGCAAGGTGATTGACGAAGCTGAAGAATGAAATCGTCTCAGCAGACAGAGCCTCTAGGCATTGGGATTCATATGTACAGCCGTTGAAGTTCGTCCCCATATTATTTCTGTTCTTGAATCTTGAATTAGTAATGCCAGGCAAATGGGCAAGTGAGTTACCATAATGTATGGAGTAATTAAAAATCGAACCCATGTATGCTTCAATAAACATCACACTTTTCAAGAGAAGCATAAATTAGTTGATGTTGACTTTCTCGAGCCTGACGGAGAATGGGAGCAAGACGAAACAACGATTCTCCCATAAGTTTCTTACGAACTTGAAACCACGTCACCGTTGGAGAGTCCTCGATGCCGACTGCCTCCTTGGCTATGACCTTCAGTGCTACGCCCCGACTTTGACTGACCCGTACATGAGCAATATCAAGTAAGAGCATGACGAAAACAAGACGATGGTTTGCCTACGACAGCATCCCCGGAGGCAAGGAAACCGAAGGAAATGTGTGGGAGGTACTGAGGTGATCTACGAAACTTCACACAGTGAGTTACTCGGGAGGGAAAAATGAACATGGCTTCCTGTAAACGAAAGACGGCGGCAACACCGGCAATTACGACATGCTAGTGCTCTGAGAGCAAAAGCCAATGGCTTGTTGGCTATGTAGATAGATATACATGAGTCAAAAGTCGTGTGAAGAATTGAGGTATCACAGTGAAGTCACTCGAAATACAGATGAACGTGGCCTTGGAGCTGGAGTTATCAAGTGAAGAGGGGTATCATTCATCATTAAATCATCATCCACCACAAAGTCCATCAATCCCATCAAACCCATTAAATCATTAGACCACACAGCACACTCCCGGCCCTCACCCAAAGATCCCAGCAACAACAGCCATAACACCAACATAAACCCCCGAAGCCAACACGCCCTCCGTAGCAGCCACCCTCGCAGGACGATCTGACCCAAGGCTACTAAACAACCCCGCCTGCGCCACACCAGCAGCAACGCCAACAGCCACAAGCAACACAACAGCCATCCGCCCCACGAAACCCGGGATCACAGCAAACGCAAGAATCGGTAGCAGAAACGCTGCAGCAAACGCGATGGCGAGGGTAGGCAGGTACCCTGTCAAAGCCGAGATGAGCAGGCGGCGGATACGCTCCGCCCTATCTGCGCTTGGACTTTCTGGAGTCAGCAGGGAGGAGAGGGAGGGTAGTTTTGCGTTGCGCGGTTGAGGGGTGCGGAGGTCGTCGCTTGAGAAGCTGGAGTTTGAGGCGGATGAGGATGAAGAGGTTGGGCGGGCGAGGGAGACGAGGTCGTCCGCGGGATCGAGGAAACGTGTTTCGATTTCGACTATGGGGTTGTGGTTCGCGAGGTAGGCGCGGTAGAAGTCTACGTCTTGGGGTTCTGGGTTGGGGAGGTGCTGAGTTTCCCTGAAGGATGAGAGGACGTGGTCTGCGGCGTGTGAGAGGCAGGGAGATATGAGGTGAATGGGAATGGAGAAGCTCACTGTATTGACTGAGTTTATAGCCAATTTTGCCTAGGATATCCGTCTTGTGCCACTGCAGCTCGCCCGCGGTGAGGACGTCCTGCCTCCTCGACGCCGGCAGGAAGCAGTTCTGCATCCGCCGCGTCTGCGTGTCAGCCGTGTCGAGGCGGTGGAGCTGCTCCTCCAGTTCTGCGAGCTCGTCCTGCAGGTGAAGTAGCAGGCGATGGTTGAGGGCCTCGAAGCGCCGATAGATGGGCTTGATACTCGACCGTTCCGTGTCGTCGCCGGCGCATAGCTTCGAGGCGATCAGCTCGTACCCCGTGAGTGGAAGCTTCTCTGCCCTGGGCAGGTGCTTCGGGTGACCGTGATGCGTGCCGGGGAGACGGGGCTGGAGGGCGTTGGGCGGGAGGTGAGGCAGGTTTGCGGTCCCGCGCGGCATCTCGGGGGTGCCGTAGTGGCGGTAGTCGCGCTGCCGTTGGCCGTGTCCGTGTCCGGGGGGCATGGGGACCTCGAACTTGCCGGGCATAGAGGGGGAGTCGCCGTAGATGCTGTGGTCCGGGCTGCTGCTCCTGTCGGTCTCGTGGTCGCCGGCGCTCATTTCGGAGAAGACATCGCTCTGGAAGCTGCTTGAGGCCGTCGAAGTTGTGCTCCGCGTTGAGGGCGACTGGTAGCTTGCGGCGGCGGGGTCGGGCATCCTCCAGTAGGACGACTGCTCGACGGAGCGCTGGATGGCTTCCGGGGTTATATTGGGGGAGTCTGGTTCGAGGTAGCTCAGAACGTTTGATGAGGAGAGCTGCTGTTGCGTCTTGGGTGAGCGGCTTTGGCGACGGCTTTTCAGATATGACTTGTCGTGGGCTCGCGATTTTTCACTTCCTCTGCGCCTGGGCCACGATGCTTGGGTGATGGTTGAGCCGCTGCCGCTGGAGCTGCCGGAACCGTGAGTTCTTTCAGTAAGAGCTGTGAAGCTGGTGAGGGTAGATTCTGTAGGTGATGCTGGGCGGAGCGGTGCTTCTTCGTCCTGTTCTTTCTCGGCGGGGACCACCGTCTCATCTGAAGAAGA